TGTAAACCTTTCATTCTAAGAAAAGTTCCAGATCAGATATAAAATCAAAGACAACATTCATAGGCAGTGCAGAAATAACCGTCATGGTTGGACAGCCTTTTTAAGGGTCAATACAACAGGGCAGTTCAAGAAGATGATAAACAAGAGTATGCTTTTTTTCTGCCGCTACCCAGTGCAGTATTTTCATATTCATCCTCTAGCTCATAGTTTTCAACTACTTTAGCTTGAGAGCAGTTCCTACTTTAGCTTCAGACTAACCTGAAAGAAAGGACAAACTTATGCATAATATCCCTGCACACTCATTCGCAACGATTCAAATGTAGCTGCCAGGTGCTACCCTATGAGCGTAGGAAAGTGATTTGTATCATTGCTTTTTTCCCTTAAAAATGTAAATGACTGTAAAAGGTTAAGAGCTGTGTAGAATCATCTGCCTTTCATCTTTCCTTTAATCCATGCCTGCTAAAGAGGGGGGGAAGGAAAGAAAGGCACAAAAAGGTGCTAACTTGCTTTTTTTTTCCAACAAAACTTAGAATCACTGAATGGTTGAGGTTGGAATGGACCTCTGGAGGTCATTTTGTCAAACCCCCCTGCTCAAGCGGAGTACTTATTATAAAGCTTGAAATTATTATTTTATTGTACCAACAATTGAATATATACAATGTGATTCTGTAAGAGTACAGAGAAATTCTGTCACATCGAAGGACATCATACATTCGTGTAACATCAGTCCGGATATATGAATGTTGCATATTAAGTTCCTGTCTCTTTGTGCAGAAGCAATAGCTTTAGTTTTCCAGGTACAAAGGGTACCTGTACACTCTGTGCACATATTTAGATGGTGGCTCTCTCTTTAGACCTGCTTCCCTTTAGAGTATCGGATATAGACTCCTTAAAGGATTTCACTCTGAATTTACACTTGAGGGTCCAGAAAATTGATCTTTCCAGTTAGTTCTCTTCACTGGGAAATTCTGTTTTACTTGCCAAAGCTCTTCATTGCTCTTTCCCATTCAAATAATGATTTGTGCAAAAATGTTCAATTATTTTATTAGAAGTTAGAAATACAACTTATTGAATAAACGAGAACTTGAAATTTGCCAATATTTTCCATGACATTTATAGAAACTTGCCTCAATTTTTTAAAAATTTCATTTCTGAAAGTTTTGTAATCTTATTTCCATAAGTATTCACTGGCAAGCACTTATTTGAAGAAGTGGGTGAATGAAGTGACTTTGTTTAAAGTTGGCAGTTTCCTTCATTATCATGGCAAGGTGTATTATATTATTTATGCCACATTCTATACAACAAAACCCATATTATTCTAATTTTAGCATATTTTTGACAAATTATAATTAAAACTCATTCAGAAATATGGAACTTACTTACACTTATTTTTTTTCAAGTAGTGTTTTAAAAGGCTCCACTATGATTAAATTACTAAGTCAGGTATACAATAAACCTTTCCACAAAATTGTTAAGAACTGATTATCTCACATTAACATTGAATTTTTATGATTTAAAATGTGTGTTTTCAACTAGAAAAAAAAGTTATATAATGTATAAATACCTTATTGTTGTAGAGCACAAAGTGGAACTAGTATTTTGAGTCCATTTGGTACATACTAGAACACTGTAAAAAAAACATTTAAAATCATTGCTGCTTATAATGTTTTTTTTTTTACTGTTTAAGAGTTGTCACAGTAAAGCTAATCCCAATTTAATTTAGGGCAAAACTTTTTGATAACAAAGGTGTTTTTCAAAGTTGGTTGAAAGGCTATATGTAGAATGACATTAACATTTCATCCAGTCACAGAATTAGTACTTCTGTTGACGTCATAAGATATTAAGACAAAATTTCACATTGCTTTGATATCATAGATATATTAGGATATGATTTTTGAAAGCAGTCAAGATAGGCCTAAGTCTGCTTTAATAGTAATTGGCATTAGTTTTACAAGTGCCTTTTGCAGGAGCAGATAGACCAGTACAAAGTCCCAGCAATTTAAAAAAGAACAGAATTAAGCCATAGATTAACTTATTAAAAATTAATTTTATATATTTCATTAATATTAAAAATAAACCATAACACACATACGTACTTTTAAAACACAAGATAGTCCAATTTCTGCCTGTCTTCAGAAGAAGAAAGTACATAAAGAGCCTAAGACAGGCGAGAAGGCTGATGACAACCATGCTCCTCGCCCCACCGCAGAATGTCACCGCGTTCCTGTCACTCTTTGGGGTGTGGGAGATAAAGGAAAGAAATGTTGGAAAAGTATTGGCAGTCATAAGAAATCAGACTTTCAAATGTTGTGAAACAGAAACCCGTATGAACAAATGGGTTGCAAGTAGGAAAAATAGGACTTGGGACATGTAGGGCAATAGTGAAGATGGGGAGTGCTGAATGAAAAGGAAATTGTCAATCATAAAGAGATAGAAAAATGTGTAACAGTCAAATACTTAGGTCTCAGATGTCTCACCAATACCAAGAAGATTAAAAATTAAAAACAAAGTCTTCCCCACAACTATGGCAAATGAATATGAATATCATTGTACAAAGGAGCAATATTGCTACTATAAACATTTCCTTTACTTGCCAGTGAAAATATTGTGTAGGCTTTTCTGTCACTGAATCATTCGGGGTGGGAAGCTTGCCACATCAGAATGTTCCAGTGACACTGGAAATGCTGTTTACATCAGTGAAAAATGAATCTTCGCATGGTAAAGACTTCTTAACACCGCATTAAAAAAAGAAAAAAAATCCTAAAAATACAAGAGCAACAAAACAACCCGGAATCCCTTTAAAAATATGGATTACAAGACCCTAATTTTTCTCCTCCACATTCTATTTAGTGGTTAAGAAGGTATAGAGAGGAAAACTTCACTGTATAATGTTTCTAGAACTGGACTCTATAGAATTTACTGGTATTCTACCTGTTGAAACATATAAGCTTTTCAATAAACTGGAATTAAATATCTATTTATATCTTCCTGGCAATTCAGACTGGTAAACACAAATGACTGAAGTTTACAAAGGAAGTCATCAAATAGATGGGTGGATGTACAGATAAAGTAAGTTTTGGAAGATGTATCAGAAATTATAATATTTAACTAGGAATGTTGATGTTAAAAAAAAGAAAGAAAATGAATTCATGTGAAATGTTAACTTCCAACATTGCTGACAGGGCAATGTGTAAATGGTACATAATTTCATTGCTCTGCCATTATTTTTGTTATTTACGTAGTGTTTTTTAAGTCTTTCTGAAGAAAGGAAAATAACTTTGAACTAGTATCTGTCTGTTTATCTGCCTATCCATGCATGTAAATATATACATTGAATTCTGGCTTATTGCATAATAACATTCTGAAGAACAGTTCTATAATAAAACAACCCATACAACAGACAATGAAACCAATTGCATAAGAAGTAAAATGTTCCCCTTCATTTGAAAAAGGTTCTTACTTTTCCATTTAAGAGTTCTATCACAGACTAACAAAGCATATATTTCTGTTAGTATGTATTGATTTAGAAGTCCTCAAGAAAATAATTTTCAAATTATATTTGAAAGGGTAAATAGGTATTTTCTTAAAAATTAGTTAAGCAGAAATAAGAAAGCTTAAATGATATTCTTAATCTGAAAACAGTCCACAATGTATCAGGGAGGTGGAACAGAAAGAAGAGGAAGATGATGGTAGTGGCCCCATTAAAACATTTCTATTATATTATGTTATATTATATTATGTTTTGGTGTCTGTTACAACAGTATTCGAGTAATTTCCTGTCAGAAAAATCTTGCTCTTATTTTGGCAACAGGCATAGATACAGCTGCAAATGGAAACATACCACTGCACTGCTGAATCATGCATCACTCCAAGGCATGGTAACACTAAGTAAGCAATGCTGATGTGCAACACCAACGTGCAAAAATCGCAGTTCCACTCCCCTGTGGGGTTTGCTCAGGACATAGCATCACACAAGGCAATTGTCACTAGCCAAATTTCTGAGCTAGACCAACACCTTGATTTAGCTGGGTGCATGAACCATTACGGAGGTGGCTTTTTCTTTTTTCCCCTCGTTTATTGATCAGATACAAGTCCTCTCCTTTATAAGGGCCATCTGAGTTCACAAACACAGTAGTTGTTCTTCTGAGAATCACACTATTCAAAACAGTCAGTATCATTACTGTCAGTTATGGAAATGTCAACCGAGTCAAAACATTAAAATATTTTTTCTGAGATTGGTAATGAAGTAAAATTAGCTAAGCATCAGCTTTAATAATACAAATACAGAAGCAAGATCAGGTGTGGAATATGCTTATTTTGAAGTGTGTGAATGCATTTCCAAGGTACAAGACTATACAAAATGAGGTCCTAACCCTATAATCATTTAATAATATGCATAGTTTTTCTCATACTAATTTATTTAAGACTAAGTGTGTGCAACTGTTTGCAGATTAAATAGCTTGAATTAACTTCTTTGAAGACTTTTTCATTCTACTGTAATTCAAAAAATGACCTTTACAAGAATAAATACTGTTTTGGCACTCTCTTAAAACTTTCAGTAATTCTGCTTAGCAGCACTGCTAATTAATTATATTTGAAATGTGGAAAATGACAATTTCTATCTATGACAATTTATAGCAACTATTGTTATGTTGAACATTTTAAATGTTTTTCTTAGGCTGCATACTGATACTCTCAGTCTTGGAATGTTAAGATGTGATGTTATTTATTATTATATAATGTCATTTATGCTCTGTGACCATACTGTGACAATTACTGGAATTTTAGCAATGGGAAAATATTATATAGAAAAGATGGGGTTTTTATTTTTAATCAGGTTGTATACATGCTTAATCTTCAGGACTGTTTATTTCCGTTAATTTCTGAATGGTTCATTTCTAAACATCCTTTAGCCTCCTGGCCTACAGCTTAAAAGCTTTAGAAAATGCTATTCTTTGGGATTAATTTTATTAATAAATTTTAATTTTCTTTCCTTCAAGACACTCTTTTTAATGGTCTCGGACTTGGTGCTGTCATTGGCCTGGGAGTGGCAGCCCTTTTGTTAATCCTGGTTGTGACTGATGTTAGCTGCTTCTTTGTACGACAATGTGGATTGCTAATGTGCATCACCAGGAGGATTTGTGGGAAAAAGAGTGGTTCAAGTGGAAAAAGTAAAGAACTGGAAGAAGGAAAGGCCGCTTACTTGTGAGTATTAATCACATATTTTGGAAACTTCATTACAAGAAAAAGTTGGCTGTCTAATTTATATTAACTTTACAGCCATTTTGTGGTGTGGCAAAGGGAATTAATAAAATGTTTCTATTACTTGGAAAATTGTTCCTTTGAAATGTATAGAATTGTTTGTGGTCAAATGTTGCCTTGAAAGAAAAATGGACACAAAAAAGGCATTTACCATACCTCACTTTAAGACGGCCTCTTTGTGCAGCTTGACACAAAGGAAATCAGTCATAATTCAGTAATAGTTATAGGCACATCTTTGGTCCATAAGGAACAGGTAACAGATCATTGTAACTCCATTTCTACAAATCCATCTTTTTGCTGCTAATACCCAAAAAGTCATCTTATGGTTGTGGCAGTGCCAGTAAATCTGGGAGTGAAGGACACAGTATTATAGAAAATCCATGAAAGAGTTTTTCTTCTCAGATATAGCACTTGATGGAAAATTTTGTTTCTTGCCCATAGACTTTAGGAATAAAAAGTACTGTTGATTTTTAAAAATAGGAGTGCTGAGTTGGATGTGGGTGAAATGCTGGTGAGCGTGATTGTTCTTCATAGCAACAGTCAATGATTGCTAAACATAACTGGGGAATAAACAATCCTGATTCTCACAAATACATGTGTGTGGTGGCTACTTCGTCAGACAAATGCGAATGAACCGATCATTTATGTGCAAATATGTTCCTTTAAATGATAAGAGTGGATAGTGAGATCTCTGGCAAAACAGTTCAAGCACTGATTGCATAAAATAATAGTACTTTAAAGACCCAACATTTACAGAGTTTTCAAAAGGTAAGCTGGAGAGAGGATTACTTATGGTCCCTCATTTTAGGCAGTTCCATTTTTTTGCTAAAAAAAAATGCTTAATTTCCTCATTGTGTTCATCTGATAGACTTCTTATGCATACACTGTAATATTTGTGAGAATGCTGTCTTTGGTCATTTAAATAACATTTACTGGTCCAATTCCTGTGTTCTGTAGCTCTCACAGTAGTCAGGCCTTGCAGTTCATTCTCCTGCAGGTTCCCAGATCCCGTCCTTCCCCAGATGCCTGTAGAGTAGATCAGATTTTGCAGCCCTCATTATTCATAGCTGTATCAGGCTTCTTTGTTGTCGGTATTGAAGGCGTAAGTGTCTTTTTTGGTTTTAGTTCTGGCTATTGGGATTCAGAGACTGTGTCTTTCTTAGGTAACTTTATTACATTTCTTGGTTGGGTTCTCAACTCTTTTGGAGACAGCTCCATAGAACAAAACCAGTCATAAGCAGGCACGGAGTATTTACATCAAATAATGCTTCTGAATAGAAGTTATGCCATAAAATAGCTTTTTCCTAATTCTCCACAGCTTACAGTAAGCGAAGAAATAACAGCATTTTTTCTGTTGTGTGAAGCCAACGTGTCCAGGTCAATAGAATCAAGATGTGATGTTTCTGGCTCTGACTCAGCTGTCCTTTCCTATTGAGCACAGCACTTCAGTTTATGCTTTAATTTCGCATTCAAGAAGTGACCAAGTACGAATTGGTGAACAGACCCTCCTGAATGGAAAAGACCCTAGGGAGCTAAAGTTGCAAATGTCGCTTGACAGCAGTTTATATCTTGCTATCAACATCTCATACCCAAATGCCATTCCATGCTGTCCCAGAAAAGCATAAAGCTGGTCACTTAATATTAATTCCTCCATGACACTTCTTTTACAAGCACAACTATCTTATTTAATTATATTTCTTTCCTTGTTGGTGTGATCTTCAGTCAGTCAGATCTTAAAATATTCGGGATTGTTCTTATTTTAGCCTGTTCTCTGCATAAATAAACTGTCAGGCTAAAATTTCAAGACAGGCTTGAAGAGTCAAAATTTGAATTTATTTCATGCCAACTGCCATTCCCTAAAAGACACTGACATTTCCCTGTTTTAAATAAGTCAGTCTGCATTCTGGATTTTTGAGTGTGTTTATGGTATGATTCTTTGTTACATTTTGATTGTAGGATATATATAGTCATTAATTATGTTCCATATGTAATGAATGTAGATGATACAATGCATGTAACATACACACAGCCACATGGAACAGAAATGGCATAACGTGTTTCCTACAAATCACTTTCCCTTCTGTGGAATTTTTAATTGTTACACAGCTTGTACTTTCTGTACTGATCAATTCCTCAATCCTATGTGAATGCTGTTCACGAATAATGCCTTTTTTAGGCTTTTGGTCATGCAATAATGTATGTTTGTCCCTAAGACTGTAGATGTACAGACAAACCAAGTAGAACTTACCATTCCCTCCACCAGTCCTACTACGATCCATAATCTTTTCACAGACAGGAAGTAGCCATGACAGTTAAGTGCATCATCTACAGAAATGAGCATTGTATCCATTTGTGTATCTTAAAGTGGAATTTCACTTGCAGAGGTGAATAAGCACGTGCAGGTTTTTTTTAAAAAAAAAACAGAATCTTTTAGACTTAGAATCATAGAATCATAGAATCATTAAGGTTGGAAAAGACCTCTAAGATCGAGTCCAACCATCAACCCAACTCCACCATGCCCACTAAACCATGTCCCTAAGCGCCTCATCTACACGTCTTTTAAATACGTCCAGGGATGGCGACTCAACCACTTCCCTGGGCAGCCTGTTCCAATGTTTAACCACTCTTGCAGTAAAGAAAGTTTTCCTCACGTCCAATCTAAATCTCCCCTGGCACAACTTGAGGCCATTTCCTCTCGTCCTTTCGCCAGTTACTTGGGAGAAGAGACCAGCACCCACCTCGCTGCAACCTCCTGTCAGGTAGTTGTAGAGAGCGATGAGGTCTCCCCTCAGCCTCCTTTTCTCCAGGCTAAACAACCCCAGCTCCCTCAGCCGCTCCTCATAAGACTTGTTCTCCAGACCCCTCACCAGCCTCGTTGCCCTTCTCTGGACACGTTCCAACA